TTATAATAATTATATTTTTTTTCCTGTTGATGTAAATTCATGAATGAGATCTGTGAAGACGGAGCTTGTGCAAGGAAAAAAAGGATGACAATGGCAAATACAGACTATTTGAAAAGCAGGAAAGGTTAAAGTAGCACTGTTCTTATTGGTGACAGGTAGCTGTCAGATCAGCTAGTCTCTGTTATGTGAAACCTCATGTTAAGTAAAAGTTGTTGCCATGCTTGATATCAGTTTCTTACTCTGATGTATCAGCTGAAGAGATTAAAAAAAAAAAAAAAAGAAAAGTATATTTTTAATTGGGAAAGGATCTAAAAAATACATTTTTCTTCTCTTGTTTACACATTGAAAACAAAAAAATATGACTTGGTCAGAGAAAGCGTGGGTGATGTTTGTTCCTTGATATTTGAGTTTCAGAAAGTTTGATTTTATTAAAACTGTTATAATAGAGTTGCTCAGCTTTTTGTCAGTCACAGTCAATAATGATAAAGTGATTCTGTAATAAGTAGATGCATATTTGTATACAGTTGCAAATAATTTCAGGTACCTTTATTTCCTCTCTGAGTTTAGCTGTGTTCATTGGCTTTTACTAAATAAATTCTAAACCCTTTTTGGAGTAAGCTAACAGCATATTTGTTTTTGTTTTTCAGAAGCCTCTAAGCCTATTCTTGATGAAGTAAGCATACTTACAGCTATTGCTCTCTTCCTTTGGTCAGCAAGCACTGAAATAATTGGAGTGCAGTCTTTACAAAATGGATGTATGAACAGATTTAAAAGTGCATTAAATTCCTGTGATCCTTGGGTAAGATCACGTTATAGGAATGTGAATGATACATAGCTGCAAAAAATTGTGATAATAATTGTGATATATTTACCTTATTTTCTGAATGCTTGGTGATTCCTTCACAGACAGATGCTGCATGTCAAAATAACTACAATTTTCAACAGTGCCTTATAGAAACTCTTTAGTGAGCAAAACAACACAAACGAAGTGCTTCTAGGTAATGTGTGTTCATGACATTGTGCCAGGTTCTTGACTTGTACCTTTTTAAAAGGAAAAGAAGTCTTTGATATGTGAAATTTTATCAAATGAAAAGGTTGGTTACCAGAGAGTAACTGGTAACGTTTCTACATTAATGCTGTTCTTCTATAATACAAACTGAACCACTTTTTCTGTAGGTGAAGTTACAGCCCACGTTTCTGGTGAATTTTGTATTTGTGCAGAACCTGTGCTTATTTTACATGTTCATACAAAACTCAGTTTGAGTGCAAAAATATAATTTTGTGGTCACCATCAGAACATCAACAGATTGTGAATCATCTGTCTCCTGATTTCAGTTCTGCCCTTTGGTTTGTCTTTATGAATTATCTTCTAAATTATTTTCCCACTGAAGAGGGAAACTAAAAAGTTGTAGACTGACTTTGTTCAAGCAGGCTTATGTGCTGTATAGTTAAGCTTAGCTGTTCCAGCCATGTATATGTCAGTTTGCTTGAGTGGGTATACAGATCTGCAGGTGGGAGGTAAAGAGAAAAATCTATAGTGTTTCCGCAAGCGAGCACTGCAGAGATTCCTGAGAAGAAAAACACACAAAAAATTGTGATGTGTTAGGGTCACAGTGAGGCATTTAAAATCCTGTTTAGACTGATAACTCTTCTCTGCAGCAGGGCTGGGGTTTTCCAGCATGGACATAAAATTCCGTTGGTTCTGAAGCCTACTTTGGGTGTAAAGCTACTTAAAATTTTAATGTGTGAATGGAAATGTCAGTTGTATTAAGCAGGAACTTTTATGTCATGCTCTCTCTCAGCTTTGTATAAACACATGAATAGTGAGAGAAGTACATCTTTGCCCACCACCCTGCTGGAGAGCTGTCAGTGAGCTGGAACTTACCACTGTTTTTGTAATTCACAGAGAATGCTCTGACAGCAGCCAGATTGTGTCCACTCTCCCCTCTGATGTGCAGAACATAGACTGTAATACTTGTGTGTCCCTTCTAGTTTTTTAAATACAAAACACTCGTTGTTGGGGTCAGTAACTAGACCCGTTTGTAATAAAAGCATTATACTGATTGTACTAAAAGCATTGATTTGATGATGGAAAAAACTCTTCTAAAGAAACACTGCTGCCTCATAAGAAATACAGAAATATTTGTGAAACTGTTACCACCTGCAAAAGTCCGAAAGGTTACATATCATGTATAGTAATAATGAGAAGGCTGGTGAGCTGAATTTCATTTTGCACCAACAGGGGAACTCAGTTCAGAGACCCTTGTCTCTCAGTGCTAATGGGCAAGTTTTACATGAGAGTGTGCCTTACATGCTTTGATGAAGCCCTGATTTTACCTCACAGGAGTTTTTGTAGGCTTCTGTGAATGTGGAATAGTCAAAAGTTTTATATTACATAGATGGAATAAATGAAGCTGGGATGAAATTCTGCTGTCAGATGCAGTCGTAATGCTCTAATTTGATTTATGCATGCATGTAAGAAAAGAGACTTCTATTCCTTGTTTCAAAGGCTAATAATCTTAACAGCTAATAAGGAGTAAAGTTTAAAGAATGTAGACAGAAAGGAAAGGGAATTATTTGGAGTGATATGGAGAGATAGAGAAATAATTTGTTGAAACTGGTCAAAGATGATGCTGAGTAAGGCATTAGGAGAAAATTCTTCTGTGGAGCCTTGTTAGAAAGCATAAAAACAGTATTAGAAGATGTGTTACTACTTCAGGCCTTAAAAATTGAATTGTATAGAAAACTTACAGCCATATGCTCGTGAATTAACAGGGACCTGAGCTGCATAACTTGTATTTTTCTTACTATTAATTTTTATTCTCTTATCATTTTTATTCAATATTTTTATTTATACATCCATGTTTCCAGTCATCCCTGCATCTCCTCACAGGTCATTGTGTTCAATAATACTTCCTCTAGAATGTTTCTGTTCAGCATGTGCTCAGTAACTCATCCTGTTCAGACTTGAGTGCAATTTGAAAGCGTGTGCAATGTTTTATCCTTGTTTTGTTGTGGGGCTTTACCTTTTCAAAAGTTCTGGGTTATTTGTCTGGGATTTTGGAGGAAAACCTTTGTACACCCAAATAAAATGCATTCATAAGTTCATCTAAACAAGATCATCAGTGAGTCATTTTCCCAAATGTTGACTTTAATAATCGCTGCTTTCCAGGGAAAAGAGGGAGGAGGGAAAAAGAAAGTAGAAGGAAGACAAGGAGAGGGTTCTGTGATCCAGCTCACTGTATGGCTACATGTATACTCCTATGCTACCACCAGCACAAGATGGAGAATGCAGAGGAAGGATGCCTTGCCACTTTTGGCTACAGCCTTGGCTCATGTTAAAGCAATAAGATCGCTTCGATCGGAGTAATTTTTATGGGCTGTTTTACCCTTCTGAGATTCAAATAGCATTTCATGATTTTGCAGATACATCTAGTATTAGTGCTGGTAGTTCTGAGATTTAAAGGTGTATTTCTCTGTGGACCTGTATGACTGGCTTGTATGACATTAACTATTCCTTTATTTTCTCTGAGTTCATACTGTTACTGCTATTTAGTACCTGCATGTTCTTTCTAACTGGCCTTCCTTTTATTGAAAACTGGGCTAATATTATTTTAGCAGATGGGCTGTGTTGCTGCTTTCATCTTATTCAGTATGTTTCCTTCCCCTTTAGTCATCTCTTTAGTCATCTTCCCCCCCCCCCAGTATCACATGTATTTCACATACATAGATAACAGAGTTTATTAGAATTCCCTGAGTTAACAAATAACTTTCAGGACAATGTATTTATCTTGATTTGATTAGGTTCAAGCCAAGTGTTACCAGCTTCTGCTTTCTGTATTCCAACACACCAATCGTGCCCTGTCAACTCCATATATTCATTCGTTGGCCCCTATCATGGTTGAGAAGTTGAAAGCTGTGGAAAGGAGCCGTCCAAACAACAACCTGGAGCTGTTAGCAGTCCAGGAAGGAATTAAAGTCCTTGAAACGTTGGTTGCCCTTGGTGAGGAGCAAAATAGTAAGTATTTAGTTTTTCTAGAGAAATGTGTAATGCTAAAATAGAATATTGAATGTTAGAAATCTTGCAGTTAGGAACTTGATGGCATAGTCACAAATAGACCATGCCTGTGCAACATGCTTTTGTAATTCCAGTACTAGAATTTTTGTACACATGGACTCATATAGCACATACAGTATGATACGCTGTAGCCTTTGCATTTCTGGTCATTGCAGGAAAAAAAATTCTAAACATGAACTGCAGTAGTGAGTGCTGTTTTCTGTTTGGAAATGAGTAGTTCACACTGTTTAAATTTAGTTTTTCCTATTATTAACTTGTATTTATTTTAGCAGACTCATCCCTTTTAGCAGGTTGCTTCTACCAGCTCAACCAAGTTTATCTAAAAAGCCCAAGAAATGGAATTGTACTGGTCAGAATATCTTGATTGTAGATGGAGCCTCCTGTTTGCTTCAAAAGAAAGAATACAGTATTTATAGTTTAAGTTCAGTTATTCTTTAACTGAAACAATGCATTTTCTAAAGACTTACTCTGCAGACATTTGGCTTAAATGCTGATAAAGTTCCTTGTAAAAATATTACTGTTGTTTCTGTGGGGTTTGTTGGGGTTTCTCCCCTCCCCCAACATACTCCCTGTTGCTATTTCTCTTCATTGATGGTAAAACACTAAATGTATGTTTTCTTGAGCCCCTTTGAGGAAACAAAGATAAACCCTTCTGATCTGTGTGCCATTTCGGGCTGTGGCGTCATTGGGTCGTGCTAGCCCAAGTACAGCTGCAGTGCTAGTTTTTGGATTGGAATCTTCCAGAATGGAGTAATACAGCAGATAACTGTCCCTGACTTTTTCATGAACACTTGCATAATAGTGGTTCTGTTATGCTCACTGGGGAGCCTGATATTCAGATTTAATTGAATAATGTTTCTGTCTGCCTGAAAAGCATTTTGAAATCCTTTAATATGATAGGCACTCCACATCTTACAGTCTCTTATCAATGATCTGCAATCAGATGGTGCAAAGGCATCTTTAAAGAAGAGTCAGGAACAAAATAACTGTGATGAACAATAATAGAAGTCTGAAACACAATCCTGATAAAGATTTGAGTGACCAAGGGACAGGAAACTATCTGCATTTCAGTTGTTTTTCATTTGATCATTTTTTAATTACAGTGTTTATTGTCAATTCTGAAAACAAAATTACCCTTATCAGTCTAGTCAGTGATAAAATTAATTTTCTCATGTTTTCTTCTCTGATACAGTTATTACATGTTTGTTTGGTTTTTTTTTCTTTCACTTTCAGGAGTCCAGTTGCTTGCCCTTCTCGTTCCCACTCTGATCTCCTATTTACTGAATGAAAATGCCTTTGCTTCTGCATGTACAGCATCTAAGGATCTTCATGAATTTGCACTTCAGAATCTAATGCACATTGGTCCACTTTACCCACATGCTTTCAAGACAGTAATGGGAGCTGCTCCTGAGTTAAAAACACGTCTAGAAACTGCAGTCCGAGCAAGTCAGGCCAGCAAAGCAAAAGCAGCTGCTCGGCAACCACCACCCACAGTACATTCCACCCCAACAATTAAACTGAAAACCAGCTTTTTTTGAATTACTTTTGTTATCTTTGGACCATTAAGTGGTCAGAAGCATTACATTAGCCCTGATGTGTTCCTGCGTATATGTCTAATTTTGCGTAGTTTGTATGTGAAAGGCTGTCTAATAGAGCTTTGTGTAATTACTTGGAAATCCATGCGTTACAAGGGAAGTGGCGTTACTTGTATAGATTTTTAGGAAACTGAATGTGATCATATTTATGAATTTGTGTTATAAATTATCCACCAAAAAACCCTATTCTCTAGCTGACTAAATAGTTTTATTTATTTTTAAAAGCTACCGCAAACCTTTGAGTCGTTTTTGAAATCTGGTGATTGTTATCATACCATTATGCCAACACATGAACACAGTGGGGATGGAGGGAAGAGGAGAAACCATTATGCAATACTTACCATGTACCATAGGGAATTTCAAGTGTAGAAGTATGCACTTTTTCCTTTTAAAAAGAAAGTAGGGAAGGGGATTGTCAGACCTTGTAGATCATTTCAGCTTGCATGAAAAAAAACAAAGAATTGGAAATTTTCAGCCTTTCTCAAGGTGAATGATCAAGCATGCTGTCTTAATGAGTTGTCCTTATTTATGTGGTGTATATTTCTTTCAGATCCATTTCCATGCTTGGAAATTAATAAAGGATGCAAAGAATGTAATCCCCTATCTCTTCTAAGATAAATTCTAAAGAATGCATTGGAAATCGAGTTTATAAAGAGAACTGCCTGCTATCTGCATTTTTGTAGGTGTAGATTTTGGCCCTTGTAAGGTGCTGTGTGTTAGCAGTCTTCCTATTCTGCCAGACACTGGTTGAATGTGATGATTCAGTGCTCTGCTCTTTGTCCAGACTCCTAGGTATTTAACCTTCCTGCAAGATTTTAGTCTCAGTGGATATATCTTATCTGCAGTCCTTGATAAAGTTTGCAGAGCCAAATTACTTGAGCGCTGTGCACCTGTACTGACGAAAGGAGCAGAACACAAGTGAGAGCCAGGCTCCTCCAGTTTTTCCTTCCCCTACCAGGCTTTTCTTTTTTGAAAAGCACATGGCTCCCCTCCCATCTGACTGAGTCTGATCTGCAGATTTTTGAGCTTAGAGCTCAAGTGCTGTGCTAACCTTACAGCGCAGAGCCAGTGACTCCCAATGTCTGTCTGCTGCCAGACCTCGCCCTTCCTATTGGCGGAAGTGCAGAACTGTGTATTTTCTTGTGTATACGAGACTGACTTACATGAGTTTTTTGACACTGCTGTTGATTTTATGGGGTTCTATAGGGTTCTTTCTATACATTTTGCTATATAGAGAGAAGATACATAACTGGAAGGCTCGGCTAGGCCTGTTGAATTCCATCTCTGATGTTTTTCTGGATACTCTGTAAAAACTGCATATTTCAGAAGCTTCTACTTCAACCCAAATATAACAAAGGGATAGTAAATAGAATTGAATGTGATTAATAGTAGATCATTATTTTTGCATAGTCACTTGCCTGGTCTCTCTTTTCCTGTAAGACCTTCTATAACCCTTTGAGTATCTATGCAAAATGGAGGACAAGACAATGCTCCTTTGCTCTATTGTATTTGGTGTGTGCAAAATACTTAATACAAAATCAGAAAAGCTTTTATTTCACAATGAATATTTTAGTACTAAAGTGAGGACACAACAAGTGGTACATACTCTAATCTTTCAAATATTTTTCTTCACAAAGATGTTAGCTTCCAAGTCTTGTTCCATTGTCCTACAGGAGTAAAGATACACCCAGAAGTAAAAACAATATGCCGTACATGAGGAGGAAAGTAATTTCCCTACTTTTTTCATCTTTTTATATGTAGTGGGGATTAAATTGATTAAAATATATCACTTTCTAATACGTGTTTAAAGCATTACAAAGCTATTTTGCTCAGAAGTAGATCTGAACGTGTTTAACATTTGAGAGAAAGTATTAAGGAAACTCTTTTAGTACAAAATTGAACACAAAAATTTTGCAAGTAAAGCTAAGAAAATAACTTTGTAATCTGTTTTAGATTCCATCCCCCCAGGTAGTCTAGTAATTAATGACTTTGATATTTGTTGAAAACTTTTTGTCTATAATCAGGTTTTATTTACCTTAATTTTTATCTCAGAACTTTTATGTTTTGGTTAGACTCTAGTTTACAAGATGTCTGAAAACTCAGAAAAGGGGAGCAGGCGGTGGAGGGAGGTGTAGCAATCAAGCATAACTAAGAAGTTGGTAGAAAAAAGTTAGCAGAAGGGAAAACAGCACTAGACAGATGTAGAGGGACAGAGAAGGGAGAGGTTTTTCTTTGTATACTGTGTGACTGTATACAACATGCTCAGCTTTCACTTGTATACATCCTTCCCCAGTTTCTAAGTCCTCATCTGCTTCTTTGCTTGCTCCTCATACTCAAGCTATAACCGTGTGGTTTTTCATAATGTTTGGCATCAAATGTCATTTGATTAAAAAAACCGAAACAAAATAACTTGAAATGCCTGTCGTGCTTATTGTTGCCACCCTCCTTTTCATCTGTTTCTTTGTCGATGGCCTAAATCTTAATAGGCCTTTTCATCAAGCTCATTTGCTCTGTTTCCCCTTCACGTCTTTCTCTCTGCCATTTCCTTCCTTTCTGGGTGAGCCTTGTTTTTCTACCCCGGTTCCCTGCCGAGGTTCCCCCAGAGCGCGCTCTCTCTTCCGTGCTCTCGCTCCTCTTCCCCTCGGCTCTGTGACGCGCTCTATACTATAGGCTTCCTTCGTTGTCTTTCCCTCGGTAAAAGCACGAAGAGGTCATCCACCAGCCACAGCTCTAATCTCCGAGGGCAGGGTTTCGAAGCGGGCGAGTACAATTTCTGAACAGCCAAGGGGAAACAGGAAGCACTGCTTGAGTAAACACGGGGCGCTCCTGCTGCGCCCAGGGTGCGGTGAGGGGCGGCGGGGCCCCTTCACAGCACCCGCAGGGACCCCGCCTGGGGGTCGAGCCTGGGGTCACACACGCCTGGGGTCGAGCGGAGGCAGCGGGGTGCTGCTGGCACTTAGCCCTGCTGTCAAGCCTGTCGGTACCGGTGTGTTTGTCTGCCTTCAGCAAGCCTCCGGTGTCAGTGTGTATGCGGCGCGGAAAGCAAGCCTGTCGTTGTGTGTCTTCGGAAGAAGCAGGAGAGAGCAACGCTGACAGCCTGCGCCCTCAGCCCCGGGCTTTGCTGCCAGCCTCCGAGTATCACGTTTTCCCTTTCCTTGCAGAAGAGGCAGTATGGCAATTCCCAGAAAATGCTGTTTTGCTCTTCGTTTCATCCCATCCTGGGCTGGATTTCTAGTGTTTGGTGCTTTGACGCCAAGCACTGCTCAGAACAGGGCCGAAACAGAAATGCTGGGGCTGAGAGTGCAGGGCGTGACCAAAGTTTGGGAAACTGCTGCGAGACACCTGCCCTTTTTATGTCCCGACGGTGGGCCG